CAAGTGTCAATCTGATCTCTCCTTTACGAGGTGGCTCTTTGGATATACAGGGGTCAGGGAACTGCTTGAGGAGACGGTCTCTTCTTTATAGGAGTTCAAATGCTGAGCTGTGAGCTCCGTTGTTCATTCAGAGCTGCTGGGCAGGTACGTTTAGGTCTGCTGCAGCAGAACTGATAAACCGCTTTTTGTTCCCAGGTGCTCTGTCCCAGGGATTTAGGGCTTTATGAGTTTCCGTTATGCTGCTGCCTTCTCTTTATTTTTTTTCCTTCAGAGCTGCCCTGCCCAGCAAGGAGGCAGCCTAGTAACTGTCGGCCTGTACAGGCTTTGCTGAGCTGCTGTGGGCTCTGCCCAGCTGCCGAGTGAACTTCCCTGCAGTCCTGTTTATATGGGTGTAGTTAGAGCTGCCGCGGCAATGGTGGCCCGCTGCTGTTGAGGCGGAGTCTCTCTGAAGAGGCGGGTTGCCTTGGCAACGGCGGGCTGCCTCAGCATTGGCTGACTACCTCCCTATCGGCGGGCTGCCTCAGTAATGGCGGACGCCCCTCCCCCACAGGGCTGGACCGTCCTGAGTTCAGCTGCGCTTCCTGTGAAAGTCTCAATCCAGAGAGTTTCTGGTTGCCGTTCTTTTGTGGGGGTGGGACCAGCCGAGCCTGATCGCTGGCTCCCTGCCTCAGAGCCTTTTTTTTTTTTTTTTTCCAGTCGCCTGTTGAAGAGGTGCCGCAGTGTGTGTTTTTTTTCTGTGCGGCGACTCACTGCGCTGGCTTAAACAGCGGCACTGAGATTCGTGGTGCTTTTTTTGCCCTGGAATCTACTGTCCTGGCTCCCTGCTCAGTCCCCTTTTTAAACAGACGAATGGGTGACTTCCCGTGGCTCCAGTCGCCAGCCAGAAGGGCACCCGGACCGGTGTATTTTATAAGGAGAACCGCTGCTCTGGGGCGCCGACAAAGCAGCCGCGCGGGGCAAAGCAGCGGCGCCAGCAGGCACAGCCGCGCTGGCCGAAACAGCCGCGCTGGCGACCTGTGGAGCTCCTCCGTCTGGGAATTGCCTAGTCTGTGGGCAATAAAAATGCGGCGTCCACTCACCCTCTGCGCTTTCACTGGGAGCTGCAATCCTGAGCTGTTCCTAAACGGCCATCTTGGATCCCTCCTAGTCCTAGTTTTAACACTTACTGGATTTATGACTTAGGGTAAGTGACCTAATTTTTCTACACTTCTTTGCATAGCTATAAAATGGGTATAATGAATACATACGCCTTACCCAAGAGTAATGCATTATAGGATAATGGTTGAGAACATAGTCTTTGGGAGAAATACATCGTAGAGTCAAGTCCTGCTTCTTCCATTTACTTGTTTTTGGTTTGTTGTGAACTTGAACAAGAGACTTATCTTTAGATTCCTTGGTTTCCTTATTTGTAAAATGATGATATTGTGGACTACATGTATATGCTTTCCCAAATTTCATATTTTAAAATCCTAACCACCAGTGGGATGGTATTAGAGGTGGGGACTTTGGGAGTTAATCAGGTTTAGATGAGGTCATGAGAGTGGTGCCCCAATAATAGGATTAGTATCCTTATAAGAGAAAGAGACTAAAGCTCATTCTTTAGGCCACGTGAGGATACAAGGAGAACACGACTGTCTACAAACCAATAAGGGTGTCCTCATTAGGCACTGAGTTGGCTGATGCCTTCACCTTGGACTTCTCAGTCTCCAGGACTGTGAGCAATAAATGTTTGATGTTAAAGCCAGCCAGCCTATGGCACTCTGTTTGTTATAGCTACTGGAACTGAAATAGGCAATAATAGTATTTACCTTATAAAATTGTATACTTGTTTAGTGAGTTAATGTATTTAAAGCTGTTCACGTAACAAGTACTATATATAAATGTTTTTTTTTTAATTTATTTTATTTCATTTTAGGTTTTGGGGTACATGTGAAGAACATGCAAGATTGTTGCATAGATACACACATGGCAGTGTTATTTGCTGTCTTCCTCCCCATCACCTACATCTGGGATCTCTCCCCTTGCTATCTCTCCCCAACTCCCCACCCCCCACCGTCCCTCCCCTATTTCCCCCCAGCTGACCCCAGTGTGTAGTGCTCCCCTCCCTGTGTCCATGTGCTCTCATTGTTCAACACCCGCCTATGAGTGAGAACATGTGGTGTTTGATCTTCTGCTCTTCTGTCAGTTTGCTGAGAATGATGGTTTCCAGGTTCATCCATGTCCCTACAAAGGACACAAACTCATCATTTTTGATGGCTGCATAATATTCCATGGTGTATATGTGCCACATTTTCCCTTTCCGGTCTGTCGTTGATGGGCATTTGGGTTGGTTCCAGGTCTTTGCTATTGTAAACAGTGCTGCAATGAACATTCATGTGCATGTGTCCTTATAGTAGAACGATTTATAATTTATATATATATTATAATTTATTATAATCACATTATTCAATTTTAACAGATTAAATAGAAGCCTTATCACAATGCCTTCTTCACTGTAAATGCTCTTTCTAGCTCTGCATTGGCAGTTAGCCTATCACTCTGATTAATTTTATTAAGGTAACACTTTTGCTGTGGTGTACTAAAACACCTTCAGTAACTGCCTATCACCTGCAGATAAGAGTACTCCTTAAGTCATCTCTATCCTAATCATTCTAGTCTATTTCCCAGGATTGCCTCACATGACCACTTCATTTAGTTAAACAATTTTCTCATCATTCATTATCTGTCAAGAACTGTGAACAGTCTGAGATTTTATGTCATTTATAAGCTAAGAAATTAGCCTTCTACAGTTTCACGTTGCTGGCATTAGACACACAATTCCTAAGTCATTACTCATGGTGCAGCAATCAGTATGAGCTTCATGTTTCCACTGGTTACCTTTGCTCTCCAAGTCCCATGGAGGGGGACACTAAGGGGCCCAGGTGGTTGCATGCAGTGGGTTTGTGTGATAGCTGAGGAACTCCAAGCTTAGAGTATCTGATATTCTTTGCTAATAAATCAAAATACGGTAGTGGCAGTTTCATAATGCTTAGTTGCAATGTAGAATCTGAAAACATATTTGTTACTATAATGCATTAAAATCCATTGGTGTATATTGAGTTTTGAATGAAGCATTTACCCAAGTATGATTTTGTAACAAAATGCACTGGTCATTTGGAAAATATTGGTTCCCAAAGTTATGTAGAAGGGCAAGGCAGCCCTCTGGGGTCTCTTCTATAAGGGCACAAATCCTATTAATGAGGACTCACTCTCATGACTTAATCATCTTCCAGAAGGCCTCACTTTTTTTTGATTAATTAATCAGCATTAGCTAACAAAACATTAATGACATACCCTTTCTCATCCCTGTGGATCAAGGCAAGAAGGGCCATTTGCCAGCACCAACACCAGAAGCTGGAAATCTGTAGCAGTTTTGAGCAGAAGGCCTCACTTTCAAATACCATTACCTTGGGGTTAGGATTTCAACACAAGAATTTTGGGAAGACATGACCAGTCAGACTGAAAAACACATTGTTTCTAAGTTATGTGTAGAAAGTTCAGTTATTGATGTCTAGCAGCTATTAGAAAATATGAGACTGAATATAGAAAATTACAATTTAATGATCTGCATTGGGGAGGCATCCACACATAGGTTATAGGTTGAAGATAGAGGAGTATGCGTAGCATACTAGTCTATGTAATGGTCTGTCTTGGTTTAAACTCCAGTTCTGCCACTTTATTAACTAATTTGTGACTCAGTGCTCTCATCTGAAAACAGGTAAAATAAGAATATCCATCTAAAATGATTGTTACAAGGATTAAATAAGTTAATATTTGTAATGTGATTATAACAGATCTTGGCACATAGTAATCTATATATCTATCTAGATCTAAATGTAATTTTACTATATAAATGAAATTTAAAAAGGGGAATAAATGGAGAACTTCTCTGGGAGAATACTGAGAGAGAAGAGAAGAGGGCTGAGAATTGGGGCAACCAATGTTTTAAAAAAAAAAGCAAAAGAAAAGGAGTCAGTGAAGGAGACAGAGTGATGAGGGAGGCAGGGGAAAAACTCCAGAGTGGTGTCCTGGAAGCCTAGGAGAAGTCTGCCACATTGCAGACTTCAGGCAGGAATGTAAACCTTGAGATGGCGGGTGCTGCATTTACTTTGTTCTCTGCTGAATCCTCTGGCCTTAGCACAGTGCCTGATATATAGCAGGTGCCCAGTAAATATTTGGCAAATGAAAATGCCAAAGAGAAGTTGGAAAGATAAGGGCCTGAATATGTTTATTTATGTTTAACAAAAATAGGTTAGTTGGGGACTTAGACCTCCCTATATAGTGCCATACTGGCATCAGAACTTGATGTTAAAATATTCTTACTTTATGATTTAACCCATACAGCTATTGCCTGTTATGACCATGGTTTCATTATAATTTTTTGAAACTGGCCCCAAAGTCTCTTTTTTTTAAAATAACTGCATTCTGCCTATGATCACAGGCATATTTTTAGCCTTTTTCTAAATGCCAAAATTAGTCATTAGATAGAAGAATTGGTCATCAACCAGGCCAGTGAATGACTCAAGATTCCGTCATTTGACCTCATATTGAAAATATGAAGGCCAAACCGAGTCTGACAACCAGCACCGCTTTCTGCGTTTCATTTTTACTGTACAGAAAAACAATCATCTAAAATATTGATTTTTCTTTTATTTGAGTATGTGGCAGGCAGTACATTGCCCTTTACTACAAATGGACTGGTTGTAAAAATCTCCACACGAGGAGGTAGTTAAGACTGAATCCTACCACTGTATTTCTGAACTCCTTAGACTAATGGATTCCATTTAATTGGTCTCAGATTAAATTTCTCTAACTATTAAATTAATTTTTCTACTTCCTTGCTCAAAAACTCTCCATGGAATACATATCAAGCCTCTTTAATCTGACCAAACTCCTTTTTTTCTGAATTCCCCCTGTGTAAACTCTATGCTACGGTCACACTAGTCTACTTTCTTTTCTCAAATACTTGGTTCTCACTTGTGTATCTTTTGTTAGATTTACTCCTAGATATCATATAGTATTGAAATATTTTCTCTGTCATATTATTCAGTGGATTGTGACTGGTGCTTAGGAATGTGCCCCCAAATTTTGTATGCAGCTCTTTTACCCATGAATCCGTAGATTATTTTCAATTTCTAATGGCTGAATATAGAAGCTATTGAATTTTTTGTGTGGACAGATCATATGTTTCACAAATAATGATAGTTAGGTCTCTGTTTTTCCAATTATTATACCAAAAATTTCATTGGCTTTCATTTACTAGAACTTACACTAAAATGTTCAATAGAAGTAGCAGTAGTTGGCAACCTTGTCTTTTTCACGACATGTAAAGGAATGCTTTTCAAATGTCATCATTAAGCTACTTGGTTAATAATGACATATATGTGAGTCAGCATGTTGAATGGTTAAGAGCTACAACTCTGGACCAATCTGGCTGGGCTTAAATTCTAGCTCTGCTACTTAGCTGCGGGGTTACATTGGATAAATTAACTCTGGTTTCCTCATGTGTAATATGGGGAATGATAGCATCTAAATCATAGAATTGTTGTAAAGATTCAATGAGATAATACTTACAAAGCGCTTAAAACTATCTGACACATACCAGCATGATATAAGTGTTTCTTATATAAATATATTGAGGTAATTGTTTGAAATCTCCCATTTAATATACTACTTTAATTGATATTATTATATTGAATAGCTGTTAAATTCTTGGAGTCAGCCATATAGAATTATGAATTTAAAAAATATATAGTTCATTTCTAGTCAATATTGTACTGGAGGTTCTAATCAGTACAATTAAGCAAGAAAAAGTAATAAAAGGCACATGGATCAGAAAAAAAGAGGTAAAACTATATGCACAGATGGCATAATGTTGTACACAGAAATCATAAAAAATCCACAAAACTATTAGAGCTAATAAGCACATTCAGCAAGGTTGCAGAGTACAAGATTAGTATACAAAAATGAGTTGTATTTCTATACACTAGCAATAAACATTCAAAAAGGAAGTTAGCAAAACAATTCCACTGATAGTAACATCAAGAATAATAATATGTTTAAGAATAAAGGGAACAAAAAAGTATGAGATTTATAAACCTAAAATGATACAGCATTTTTAAAGAAATTAAGAAATAGCTAAATAAATGGAAAGATATCTCTTACTTGTGGATCAGAAGAATTAATCTTAAGGTAGACATACTCCCCAAACTGATCTGTAGCAACACAATCACTACCAAAATTCTATCTGCTTTTTTTTTTAAAGAAATAAACTGATTCTAAAATTGCTGATTTCAAAAATTACTAGAATGCTACAGTAATCAAGGCATTGTGGCACTGGCATAAGGATAGACATATGATCAAGGGAATAGAATATAGAGTCCAGAAATAAATCCTTATATTTAAGGTCAATTTATTTTTGACAAGAGTGCCAAGATAACTTGATTAAGAATAGTCTTTTCAATAAATGCTGATGTGACAGCTGGATACCCATGTGTAAAAGAATGACTTTGGAATTGAGTTACAACATATACAAATATTAACTCAAAAATGGGTCAACAACCTAAATACAAGAGCAAAAACCTTCAAACTCTAGGAAAAAAATTATAAAAGTAAATCCTTGTGAACTTGGCTGAGGCAATGTTTTCTTAGATATGACACCAAAAGCACATAAGCACCAGAAGAAAAAGAATTGGACTGCATCAAATTAAAAACTTTTGAGCTTCAAAGGACATTATCAAGAAACTGATAAGACAAACAACAGAGTGGATGAAAATATTTGCAAATCATATACTTGAGAAGGTACCAGTATCCAGAATACATGAAGAACCTTTGTAAATCAACAATAAAAAGAAATAATTCAATTTAAAAACCCTGGGCAAGGGATTTGAATAGACATTTCTCTAAAGAAGATATACTAAGGGCCAATAAACACATGGAAAGATGCTCAAAATCATTCCCTAAAGAGGGAAATGCAAATCAAAACCACAATGAAATATCACTTCACATTCATTAGGATGGCTCTAGTAAAAAAGACATGCAATAACAAATGTTGATGAGAATGTAGAGAAATTTGAACCATCATTCACTTCTAGTAGGAACATAAAATGGTGTAGCCTCCTTGTAAATGAGTTTGGCAGTTTTTCAAAAAATTTCACATAGGGTTTCCATATGATCCAACAATTTTACCCCTAGATGTCTATCCAAGAAAATTAAAATTATTTCCTACACAAAAACTTGTACATTAATGTTCATAGCAGCATTATTCATAGTAGCCCCAAAGTGAAAACAACCCAAATGTTCATTGATTGATAAATGACTAAACAAAATGTAGTGTATCCCTGCAATGGAATATCATCCAACAATAAAAAGAAATGAAGGACTGATGCTTGCTACAATGGGGATGAACCTTGTAAATGTTATTCTAAATGAAAGAAGCCAGCCACAAAAGGTCACATATGATTTCACTTATATTAAATTTCTAGAATAGGAAAATCCATGAAGATAGATTGTAGATCAGTGGTTTCTAGGGGCTGGGAGTAGGGACTTGGAGTGATGGCAAATGGATATGGGATTTCCTATTGGGGTGACAAAAATGTTCTGGAAGTTGTAATGATTGTTGCTATACTAAATTTTGTTGCTATACTAAATTTTGTTACTGTACTAAAACCCATTGAATACTACACTTCAGGGTGAATTTTATGATGTGTCAATTACATCTTCCCTAAAATGTTAAAAAAAATGGTGAATTTAGCTTTCTACTGTGTCCTATTTAATTTATTTTTATATATGTTTATAAGTGAGATTGTTCTTTACTTTTCTATTCTTATGCTATTTTTATTTCATTTTGGTATCTGAACTCAAGGAATCTGACTTCTCTCTGACTGTTATTTCTCAACTGTCCAGGTCTAATTCCGCCTTTGCACTAAATACTATATGCCCTGTTGCCTATGCAAGTACATAACTTCAACAAATTCTGCCTCTTTTTCCTATATCATTTTTTTCCTCCTCTCTATTTGGTAATCACAATGAGCTTTCAAAAACAGTACAATATCTCTTATTGTGAAGGAACACTCCCTAGACTCCACATTCTCCTCCAGCTATTGCTACATTTCTCTATGATAGCAAAACTTATTGAAACATTTATAGTCAGCAGCTCACTTTGTTTTTCCTCTCCATTCTCTCTTGGATCCACTTTAATCAGGCTTTTTTCCTCGTCTGCCTGTTAAAGCTGCCAGTTAATTCCATACAATTAAGTTCTAATGATCAATTCTCTGTTATCATCTGACTTGAACTCTCAGAAGCATTTGCCACAACTGTAACTCTCTTCTTGAAATACTTTCTTTAATTTAATTTCTGGGATGACACTTTCTTGGTTCTCCTGTTCCCTGGTTGTTCTTCTCAGTCCTTTTTGTTGGTTTCTTCTAATATTAGTTTTCTCTTGTTATGTAAGGAATTACTACAAATTTAGTGGCGTTAAACAGATACAATATCTAACATTTCTGTGAGTCATGAGTCAGGGCATAGTCTAACTGGGCTTTTCGATCAAGGTCTTACAAGACTGTAATCAAGGGGATGGCTGGACTGCATTTTACCTGGAGGCTCAACTGGA